CGGTCGTTGAACTTGACCGCGCCGTGGTGCGAGACAAACATGAGGGCGACATCCCTTCCTCGGTCGACGCCATGTTCCATGTTCTCGAAGCAGCAAGGGATGTTGCCATGAAAGCAGCGTCAGGTCGAGGGGAGCCACGCATGGAGGGGGCTGGAGGTGACGTCGTCACTTCCAACTTGAGTCCGTGTGCGCTGTCGCGGTGAAAGCGGCCTCATGGGCTGGGAGACTTGACGATGTTTGCGATTCGGGCGTGAGTGCATGGCTTCGACGGGCATCTATCCGATCGCACACTTTCCAGCCGTGCAGTGGCTAACCACGGTCGAGGAATCTCGTGCTCATCCTGCGATCGACTGCACGGACGACTCGAACGCCTCGCCAACACTCGTCCAAAGTACTGGTCATTACGCCCATGCTTATCTTCACTCAGTGGACTGCGGCGTTTGGAGTGATCAGCGCACAGCCATGGAGGACGCCGTGGCATCGAGCACCACGTCAAGGATTGGCTACCCGCCCCAACTCCCAGTCACCAAGTGAAGTCCTCTTGCGCTCTGCATCGTGTTCGCGGTCCCAGCAGCACAAACATGCAGCATTCCAGCGCATGCCAGGTTGCCCACTAGTCGGAGGAAGCGACGAGCGGGTGCACAGCGTTGCCGGCCTTGCATGAGCTTGGCCGGTCCAAGCGATGTTTGTCGCTGCAGCTTTATCTGAATAATTGTGAACTGTTCAGAATATATCTTGCGATCTTCCGTCCACTTCCCGACGACAGCAGGAGGCATGGCACCGACATCGACTCCAGGTCGATCCAGCACAGGAGTCACTCTGTCTGGCACTCACTTGTGTCCCATTAGAACGCGCCGTGCCTCTCGGCCTCATCCAGACGTTCGTGGACGAGTTCCACGCAGACCCTCGCTTCGTGATCGCGCAAAACGGCCTCACGTCGACGCACTGGCGCCACATTGTGTGCAATCGACGCGAGATTGCACGGCAAACGCATGCCTTTTCCAAGAAGCTCCCCGACATGGACGCGTGCAACCAGAACGAAACGGGCCGGTGCGTGTTATCGATTCGCGTCGACGACTCACGCGATGGACGGCGCAGGTGTTGGTTGTTTGCAACGGCTACGTTGATGCGCCGCGCGCTCCAGGCCAAGTACAACCTCGACAAGGACTTCGAGATCTCGCAAAACTTTTTCTTCTTCTGGGTGGGTTGTGTCCGCCGCGCCCATCGTGCTGACAAATCGTATAGGACAAATTTGAAAAGTGCAACTACTTTCTCGAAAACATCCTGGCGACGGCGTCCGAGTCGGTAGACTCGCGCGTCGTTGCGCATTTCCTCGCAGAGCCCACGACGGACGGTGGGCAATGGGACATGGCCGTCAACGTCGTCAACAAGTACGGCGCGTGCCCCAAGAACGTGTACGGCGAGTCATTCCAAACACTGGATACCGACCGGCTCAACTTTCTACTGGGGGCCAAGTTGCGCGACTTTGCCAAAGCGCTGCGCGAAATGCACGCGGCCGGCGCTACGGCCGACGCCATGCAAGCCGCCAAGCGGCCCATGCTTCAACTGTGCCATCGCATTCTCGCCATTCATTTGGGCACGCCGCCGACCGAATTCGACTTTGAAGTCCATGCCAAGGACGAAAGCCACATTCGCGTCGCGCGCATGACCCCCCGGACGTTTCTCTCGACCGTCGTCCCCATCGACGTCAACGACTACGTGTCGATCGTGCATGACCCACGCCACGCATTCGATACGATTCTCACGGGTACGTAGGGCATGGCAGCGACGTTTGAAAGGTCACAGCGCTGACGACGTCGTCGTGCCCAGTCGACCGCCTCGGCAATGTTGTCGAAGGCAACCCGATTCGATACCTCAACGTGCCGTCGGACGACCTGTGGAAGTGCGCCAAGGCCCAACTCGACGCCAACGTCCCCGTCTGGTTTGGATGTGATTGCGACGCCGACTCGGAGCTCGATGCGCATGGAATTTACTCGACTACCTTGTACGACCTCGACGCGGTCTTTGGTACGACGCTAGCGCTCGACAAGCGCGAACGCATGCGGTATCATGTACGTTCCGTGGTGGAGTGTGCATCTAGACGTGGCCGGAACGTATTGATGCGCCGCGTACCGGGTCGTAGAATGGAGCGATGACACACGCGATGGTGTTTGTGGGGTACAATTGTGTCGGCAGCGACGCTCGGCCAGTCGCGTGGAAAGTCGAAAACAGTTGGGGGCCGAAGCGCGGCGCCAAGGGCTTCGACGTGATGACGGCGGACTGGTTTGACCAGCACATGTACCAAGTCGTGGTGCGCAAGCAATTCCTCAAGCCAAGGCACGTCGCGATTTGGGAAAACGGAGTGCCCCTCGTCCTGCCAGTATGGGACCCCATGGGCAATTGCTTGCAGTAGGAACCAGAGCGTTCTCTCCAACACGCACGTCGATGTCGAACACAGACGTGATGGGCACAGATAAAACAACGTGAGGTTGGCCCAACACACACCTTCGATCGATCGGCATGTATCGAGCATGGAGAGAGCTCGACCAAACTTGGTCATTCGTGTTGGCGTCGGGTAAGGCCATTTCCACATGGCCATGCGGAAATGGACGCCCCTTGACCCTGCGCAAGTGCCCATGCAGCGCGGCAATAATCACACGCTGCCATCCTCATTGCTTCAAGTGCCGCTTCGATCGGACTGGTGCATTTCAATCCGTTCGCATCATAAACGTCATATCGCCCAGCTTGGCCATCGCGACGGCATTTATGGATATTCCAAACAAGATGCAAGCGCCGTTTGTCGCTGCAGCTTTATCTGAATAATTGTGAACTGTTCAGAATATATCTTGCGATCTTCCGTCCACTTCCCGACGACAGCAGGAGGCATGGCACCGACATCGACTCCAGGTCGATCCAGCACAGGAGTCACTCTGTCTGGCACTCACTTGTGTCCCATTAGAACGCGCCGTGCCTCTCGGCCTCATCCAGACGTTCGTGGACGAGTTCCACGCAGACCCTCGCTTCGTGATCGCGCAAAACGGCCTCACGTCGACGCA